TTGAGATATTGAAGGTGGATATTAAGCTCTCTTCGGCTTTTCATCCTCAAACTGACGGTCAAACGGAGCGGGTGAATCAAGTTTTGGAGCAATATTTATGATGCAGCATCAACTATCAACAAGATGATTGGACTGCATATCTACCGCTTGCTGAGTTCGCATACAACAACACTCTTCATGCGTCAACTCAACAAACACCATTCTTCTCCAACTACGGATACCACCCCAAGCTCGATTTATTGAGTTCTTCAGCAAATAACAACCCAGCAGCTGAAGGATTTGTGAAGCAACTATCGGAGGTTCAAGCGACGTTGAAGCTTCAATTGCAATCTGCCCAAGAGAGTTACAAGGCATCTGCAGATAAATATCGAAATGAAGGGCCTACTTTTAAAGTTGGAAGTAAAGTATGGCTTCTTCGACGGAATATCAAGACCAAGCGGCCATATGACAAATTGGACTATCGGAGATTAGGGCCATTTGTTATCGAGAAGCAGATCAATCCGGTGGCATATCGTCTGGAGTTACCAGCTACTATGAAGGTACATCCAGTCTTTCATGTGTCTTTGTTGGAACCTTATCGAGAGTCAGCTTTTCCCCAAAGAGTACAAAGTCCGCCACCAAGTATCGAAATTGAAAACCATGAGGAATACGAGGTGGAAAAGATACTAGATTCACGGCGTAATAGGAGAAAATTGGAGTATTTAGTGCATTGGAGTGGATACGACATCAATGAACAAACGTGTGAGCGTGCCGAAAATCTTGCCAATGCACCAAAAAAGGTACAAGAATTTCATCAACGATATCCTCATAAACCTAAGCCGATTCAACGATAGCTTCTTGCTGAAGCTTGCTCATCAAGTAGCATAAAAAGAGGGGAGGGCACCTCCAAAACCCATAGTTCGATAGTGTAGAACTTTGTTAGCAACTATAGTTTGCTCTCATCATTTTAGCCTTTGGACATGGATAGTCAAGATACTACACTTGTTATGTCATCTCAAGCGACTACCTCACGAAGACGATCGCGAGATGAAGAGCCACCTGCACCACGACGACGTCGGAGGATACCGAGCAACAGATCGCTAGTAATTGTATTTGAGGTCGAGCCTGCCTACGACGGTCAGCCAGAAGGTGTGTTTGGAGGACAGTTTCACAATGAAGACACAGAAGTCCACGCTTGGTCAGAGGTTGAAGGTGTTGGTCACTACCGTTGGCTCCAAGGGCCGATGAATCATTTGCCTCGCGAACAACAATTGGAATTCATAGCGGATATGATGCGACAGATTTTCATTTTCTTGCGTTGGTATTGACTGATAAAAACATTGCTTCTTGGAGACCTCGAAGTTAGAAGAGGAGGTGATGTCATGGACATACATTGGAAGATTCTTCGAATATTCTTCTAGAATATTCTCTAAAGATTCTCTTAGAAGGTTCTAGAATATTCTGATAGATTCTAGGAAGTTGCTCGAGAAGTTTCCTAATTAGTAGAAGTTGTTGGAGAAGCATCCTAGTTAGCGGAAGTAGCTCGAGAAGCTTTCTATTCAGTAGTATATATAGGAGTCGAGGGTGAAGGGTTCTTCAGTCTCGACAACACATCTTTTGGAGTTCTAGCTCACCTTTCTGGTGTTGTTCTTGTACTCATCTGTTTAATCTAGTTCTGCCACTTCTTCTTGAACTTCTTGTTAGATTTCAAGTCTGTATTTTGTGTCCGTGACACTCTGGTATCTTCATAATATTCAATAAATAAAATTTTATAACTCTTGCATCAAGTTCAGACCTCATACAATTTGATATCTTTGCATAAGCAATGCATTAAAAATTCCTCATGTATAAAATATAAGATTTATTTCTATTCTATGTTTTTTTTTGAAAACATTAATGTAAGTGCGCTTGTAAGAGAATTATTTCTTTTATACACCGCATTTACTACAATTTTTGTCTAAAATGCATATCTAAGATACTAAGCATATAGCATATTCTTTGCCATTTCTACAATGATTTGATTTACACTTTTAGCAACTCTATTTTGTTGTGAAATATAATGAATGGAGGTTTGTTTTGCAATATCTTGAATCTTTAAGAAATCATCAAAATACTTTGATAAGTATTTATTTCTATTTTTTATATGCAATTCATTAATCTTATATTCACATTGTCTTATTACAAGTGCCTTGAATTTCTTAAACCTTGAAAAATACTTACTCTTGGATTTGAAGATGAAAATCCATATCTTTCTTAAAAAATCATCAATTAATATGAAAAAAGACCTTAATGCTTCAATTGATGGCATTCTCATTGGTCTACAAATATTTGAATGCACAATCTTTAATAATTTGCTTGCCTGGGTTGCAACTCCATTTTGAAATGAGGCTCTTTGTTGATTACTTTAGATACAATCTTTACAAGTAAGAAGCATGGCATTGTTGTATGATTATCTAAGATTCAAGCCATTTACTATGGATTGGAATTCTTTCATGCTTTTAGCATTCAAATGACCAAGTCATCAATATTAAATATCAAATTTATCTTGATTATGTGAAAACTCAACAAATATAATTATTTCAATTCCGTTCACCTTTTTAAACTTGATGAAGTAAAAGTTGCCCTCTCTAAAGCCCTTGGCAACATCATTCCTACCCAATATCTTTACAAAGTAACCATTCTTATCAAATTGCACCTCACAACTATATGAAATTTATTTATTTATTAAAAATAGTTTTTTTTTTTTTTTTTTTTTTTTTTTTTTTTTAATTTTGGATATATGCAAGTTATCCTTCAATCCAATCCTCTTGGTTTGTCTTTTCACAACAATCTCTACTACAATAGAACCCATTTCAATAGCTTATATCATGTCATTGTCTTCTATAAAAAAAAAATTGTACCAAAATTTCTTCATACGTATTAAATGAATACTTGTATGGAATCATATACTTGGTGGTACCCAAATCAATAATCCACTTAGATATGGCAGCCATAGACATACCTTCACTTTCCATGAATGCAAAATTATTTTTTCTAAATTATTCATGTACATTGTTGGCACTTTTTCTATTTTATTTATTTATTTATTTATAGTAATTTTGTACAAAATGACTTGGTTTTTTACAAATAAAGCAATTTTTCATGTTGATTAGAATAACTTTTCTTGCCTCATCTTAAAAAGAGAGCCAAATCTTCACTTTGACATTCTTTTTCTTTCTTCTTTGTTATTTTATGGACAAATCTTACCATCACATAGTGCAATGTAAGTTCTTTTAACTTGATGGACTTCAATACCATAATGAGATAGTTGTAAGACTCGAGAAGGCTCATAAGTAAAGTCATGACAATATCACATTTTTTTAAAAGCTTGTCAACAATTGCTAGTTGCTTTGCAAGAATCTTTATATTATTAACATGTACCATGAGGTATTCACCTTCTTCCATCTTGCAAGTAAAGAATTTCCTCTTTATGAAGATGATGTTGGATAAGTTCTTGCTTTCATATATATTATAAAGAGTCTTCTATGCTTCTATTGGTCTTTTACAAGAAATGATATGAAAAAAGTTGGCTTCATTCAAATTGGTGGAAATTATGCCAAAAACCTTCTTTTCATATCTTTTGAATTCCTTCCTCTTTTTAGCATTTGTATGTATATTTTGAGATTCTTCACTTTCATCTACAATGTCTCAAAGATCCAAAGATGCCAATAAAAGCTCCATTTTTACCTTTCAATGGTAAAAATTGTCCTCTCTAAACTTTTCAATCACTTTTAAACCTTCATCCTTGCTAAAAGCCATATCTAAGAAGAGCTCTATCAAAAAATATCAAAAAAAGGAGTCTCTATGTACTCAAAATCACCAAAATGATTTTATATTAGCAAAATCTCAAAATACCCTTTTTTAAATAATTGAGTGTTTTATCACTCAAAACACTCTCAATTTAAGTTTTGAAGCTTCTAACAAGTACATACACTCCAATAAACCTTACTATCAAGATCTTTCACTCTTTTAAACCAATTATTTTACAATACATACAAGATAAGTGAAATAACTTCAACAATACAAAAAAATACTATTAAGGTTTTTTTATAAGGTCTTAAACTCACAATCCTAGGAGTTAAGAACCTATAAAGCAATGATAGAGATATATAAGACCAAAATTAGCACTTCTTCATGCCAAATCTTACCAATCCTAATATCTGTATACACTATAAGATCTATTCCATACAAATACAACCATTAGAGAATGACATCAATTTACTTGAATGGCACAACAAAGTGTGTGTGGATTCTTAATTTTTTGAAGAACTACAAAAAACAAGATACAAGTAAGTAGAAATTAGAAATATTGCGCACAAGAGAAGTGTGGAATGAGATGCCTTTTACTTCCAACATCCTTTACTTATAAGAGGATTTTACATCTATTATAGTTAAACTTCATCTATAATTATTTTCATCCATCTTTGCTTCATTCAACTAAATCATAGATTTTTCTTAACCTAACTACCATTTGAAATCCTAGACACCACATTAATAATATATCTTCATCCTTTTGCTATTCTTTAACCATCAGCAACTTACTTAAGGTAATATCTTATTCTTACTTTAACATTATGTAGGGTCCAAAATATGCAATTTATGATACATGATTTTGTGTGCTCTTTATGTCCAAAAAATAACACCTGCACCAAAAAACAACAATATAACAAATATAACAACAACAGCAACAACAACAATATAGCACAATTAAATCCCCCCTCCCCCCCCAAAAAAGGACAAACAAACAAACAAACAAAAATATACACAGTGTTTTGCAAACTCAATACCTTGAATGAATAAAAGTGGCAATGAAAGAATGGAGACTTTATCCAGTATTAGTAGGTTATTATGCAGATGCTGAGAATTTTGTCAGACTCTAAGCAAAGCACCCTATCTTTCTATGGAGGGAGCGAGGGAGGGCACTGAGCTGATCTAAGGATGCGAAGAATCTGCAAAGCATGGTGCCATCATCCTACAAAATCCTATTTTTTAGTCCGCCCGCGAACTAACAAACGTAACCAAGGAGGTCTAGATTGCCACGGCACTGCTTGAGGGAGGAAGGGCCATGGCGTGTCTTCGTGTGTTGCGTGCCTACGCCAATTTTGACACTACCCGCATGCTCTTGTCGAAGTCATCACGTTGTTGTTCTCCCTCTCCGACCGCACTTGTGTGTGGTAGAGTTTTGGAACCAGATAGGATATCTAGGTTTGTTACGTTAGTTTCGGGTGCCAGAAGCAGTGTGAGAGCTGGCTTGAAGCGGAGTTCGGGTGGAGTCGTTGGAAGCTGGGATCTCTTTGTCTCTCCCAAATTGGATGCTGTTCGATCGAAGGTCTCTGTTGGTGACAAGCACCTTGCAAGCAGTGGAGTGCGCCATGTTTCTGGGATCGGAAGAAGTTGCGCAGAGCATGGAGAGATGGGGTCAACTTCAGCGGTTGCTGCAAATGGTGGTGTCGAGACTGCAGCCAAGCCCCGCCGTTACGCAGTCCTAACTACAGGTGCGATTGTTCACTCACTTGAATTGCTGGACTTGTAGATTTCTGCAGCGTGTGAAACTGCATTTTTATTTGTTCGTGTTCGTGTTTGTGTTTGGGTTTTTATTATTTTGGGTCACGTTGCTTCGAAGAGGATTTCTTGTTTTAGGCGTAATTGTGCAACAATTTGAGTTGAAGGCGTTGAATTCCAACTTTGAGCCCTAGTTTCGTCCGTGTCAGGGATGTGGGTAGTCTTGTAGTTTCCCTCACCTGGTTGCATTCCATATACGTCTGTGAAGGCTGGTGGTATCAGGATATGGTGGAGGGATAGTGAAGAGCATATTGGTGGATTGCTGTGCTATAGTTAGAAAGAAGGTTGATGTGAAATTCAAGTGGTGCCTTTAGTGCCATTTTAATCAATGCAACTCTTAGGTTTAATTTTTGTTCTTAAATTCTTTGTAGCTTCTAGGTGCTTCGAAAATCTACAGTCTACGTTGGTGTCAATCTTGGGCTTCTGTAGAATATGTTTGCAATGCTAGCTGAGGAAACGTTGGTATACTCGAGCCATGGTGTAATAGTGCGTGCTTCAACGGTCGGAACATATAAATTCTCCTGCCGATTGCACTCCATCATTGCTGTGTTCGAAAATTGGGCATCTCCCTATTGGATCCCTTTAGCTATAAAAAAAAAACGAGCTTTCACTATTTCTATGCCGTACCTAAGTCTTAGAGGTGGGCTTGCGTACGTATCAGCAGTAGTAGACTTCTTGAGGTTAACATTGAGAACGTCTTTTTTTTCTGAAGATTGATGTTGATGTTGTCACGAGGTTTTCATGGCACGGCTAGAGAGTCCCGATTTATAGCTCTATGCTTCTAGCGTACTTAACAATCAAATTTGTAGACTCAATTCTTGAATTGGAAGTCTGAATGCATCTACGAGCTCACAAATGTACGATTAGTTCTATACTTTTCATATGAGCTGGTCTTGCAATAGGTCATGCGCCCCCGTATTGCGTAGACTCATACGGTGGTTATGGCCCGATGTTCATCGCGATGCTTAGCGAACCTGGAGAAGTATGGGATGAGTATTTTGTTTTGGAAGGTCAATTCCCAAGCCCTGAAGAGCTGCAGATGTACGATGGATTTGTGGTTACTGGGAGTCGGCATGACGCTCATGGTGACGAGGAGTGGATAGAGAAACTATGCGGAGTTCTTCGACACATAAATTACATGCGGAAAAAATCCTTATGTGTGTGCTTTGGCCACCAGGTATTAATTCAAGTCAATGTCAATTTTTCGTTATGTATTGAATAGTCGAGTTGGGTAAAATATCGTGTGGGGTTTCACGCAACCTGCAGGAACGTTTTGCTTTTTTCGCTCACGATGCGATTCTTTTTGGATCGTGTGGCTCTCAAACGTATTAAATTCACTCCCACAGGCTGGGCTGCTGTGTATATGCCTGATTCCAACGACCAGAAACAGCACGACCCGGAAAGACAGCAATTGAACTTGTGCATTTCTCCTCTCTATCTGAAGACATCATGGAGGTTGGCACTGCGGGTTTCATGCCTCGGATGCTATCAATACCTTCAGAATTGGATAACACACGTGAACGTCAAGCCGCAGGTGCTTGCAATGGAGATGCTTGATGGGTTTAATAAATTCCTTGTTGTGTACAGGTTTTGAGTCGTGCTTTAGGAGGAAAGACGGGGAGAGCACCCATAGGTTGGGAGGTGGGATTGAGGGAGATAAGCCTTACGAATGCATTTTTCTCCAAATCATATGCAGCTGGGGTCCCACCTAAATTGAAAGTATTGGAAGTGCATAGAGACCAGGTATGGCAACGATTTAGTTCTTTTTTCCGAGGGTTTCAGTTGGATCCATAGGTGTGCTATGCTGAAGCATTTTTTTTTGAAGCATTAAGAGTATTTATTTATTTATTTGTGGAGTATGAAAAGTGGTTACGTGTTACAAATGGGTGCTAAGGAAATAGATAACACTTTCACAGGTTATGGAGATACCTCCAGGAGCAGAGCTTCTGGCATCATCAGGAAGAACAGGAATAGAGATGTTTGCGATGGGAGAGCATGCACTGGCTATTCAAGGCCATCCTGAGTTCTTTGAAGATGTCGTCGTTGACCTCCTTGAGGGGCGCCTTGCTCCAATGATGACAGTAAGAGTCGCTCACAACCTTTTCTTTTGAATCTTGAGATACTGTTCACTATGTCGCCTCTCATTATGCACGAGGAGACACACCATTCTAGATACATATAAAAGTGGAAATAGAATAATGAGCATTATCGTCTTGTCTCATAGTAAGCCCTGGTGGTGAGGGTATTGTGCAGGAAGCGGAGAAAAAGTTAGCCGAAGAGTCCTTGAGCAAAGGGAAGCCAGACCAGAAGACATGGTATCAATTGTGCAAAACATTTCTGAAAGGGCGCAATGAATAATACTGGTGCCAAGGGTATTCCACAATCCCGAGTCTCAAATTCATGGAGGTACAATCATTTGTGGTCAATATCTATGCAGACTCTTACTGTCATCATTGGGCGCAATGAATAATACTTCTACCATCTAGAATGTTGCACATCTTAATTTTTTAGGGGATCTTCTAGACGCAGCGTTCCACAGAGGTTGGTGCGATTGTCTGGTATGTTGCAACTAATTAGTGTAAGGACTATCAATAGGACTAGGTTGGCTTATATCTGTAGACCTTTGATGCGTCTGTTACTGAAATTGATCGGCATTTGGTTCCGAACTTGAAAGATTTCCAGGGTGGAACGGAGATCAATCTATCAAGTTATTCAGTTATGAACTAGGCTAGATAACAGCATATCTATCTATATATATATATATATATATATATAAGTCCACAATCAGGTACTCAGTCCTTCGACAGTATAACAATGACAGCTTCAACAGAGTGTATCACTACAGTAAATCCGCCGGGTGCATTTTATGTTGTTTGTGTGATCTACCTGTTCCATCGCCCAACCCACCTGCTGATCATCAGGTAATACTCAAATTTCAATGCAACTTTTATTGGAAAATTGCTAGGGACTATTGTTCCGATGGTCTAGTTGACGGTGGTTGTTAGCAGTGTATCGACAGAAAACTTGAAATATCATATCCAACAGTGAAAACTTCAATCTTTTCATATCCTAGTAGGAAGATACTAATGCGTTTCAAATGACTCATTAATGGAGTGGCAATCCTTTTTTGACAATTAGATGGTAGAAGAGGTGGATTTTGTGACATTTCAACCTCAATTCTTATCATATGCATTATGCTTCATACCCAATGCATCATTCATTGATTTCATTGTATGAATTGTAAGCAGTTGTATTAATAAATCAAATTTTCATCGTATTTCATTATTCATGTGAAGTTATATGTTCCTTTAACTAATTTTATTTGTTAGATTTTTTTTTTTTTTATCCATATCTTTTATCCACATATAATATAATAAACACCAAAGGGTTTTTTAGAAATGAGATATGAAAAGTTATCTCATACCAGAAATAAGATTGATATTATATCATACTAACATTTGAAAGAACTAACATGTGACATTCTAAAATCTATATGTCACGTTACATTCTTCAAAGTACTGATGTAGGGACCGATTGACAATTATCTGTTGTCAACAAAACATCCATTAAATGGAGGTTTCTGAACCAAGTAAAGCTAGAGCAACTTTTCAATATCGCCCACAATACAATGATTCTTTTTACAAAATGAATCCAACTCCAGCACAAATGTGCTATCCATCACAAAACATCAAATTGTCTTGTGCGAAGTTTGAAGATATAGGTATGTATACTACCCACTATGCTAATTTATCAGAAGTAAAACCTGCGGGGTATAATTTTGAGAAGACACCATTTCTTACTTACGATTTGGCACCAACTGATCCAAATTTAAGAGCACTAATTAAAAGTGATGCATATAAAAAATGGAGTAAAAATGAGGTTGCTCGATCTTCCAAAGCACATTGGCTTACAAGAGACCAAAGACGAAAAACTATCGGAGGGCATACTCGTTTGTACAAAGGCCCTTCAATAAATAGGGATCAAGCAAAACAATTTCCAAATACTTACGTACATAAATTTAGGTGATGACCAAAGCAAAAGTAAGAGGAATAATCACATACAAAAATAAAGTTAGTTACGTAGGAAGAATGAGAGGAAACCTAAGTAGAAGATAGAGAAAAAAAAAACCAATCTACATTTATAAACATATATTACAATAAAAATTTGAAATATATAATAGAGGACTTCTTTATCATGTAGAAAAAGTAAAGAAATAAGTTAGCTTTATAGGGTTTGATAATAAAAAACTATTTCATATATACATATATATTTTCCATTATTAAACAATATTTTTTTATCAAGTGATAATTAATAATTATGTAATTCCGATATTGATAGAGAGTGTAATTTTCTTTAATCATTTACAATTTTGTTCAAATAATACATCAAATATGAGTCATATATTTTAAAATGTAATATTTAATATTCAAATTTTAAATAACACAATGGTTTGACTTAATTATTATATTGCCTTTATTATCATTGTTACATATTAAGTCAAACCATTGTGTTATTTAAAATTTGAATTTACATAACATATATATTATATAAAATCAACATTGCTAAGTTCTTTGAAAAAAGAAAATTATAAAATAATAAAACCAAAGAAGGCATTATTTATTTATTATTTTTCTTAGTTTTAGAATCAAAAATTATTTTTCCAGCATTTGATGATTCATGTTTAAAAGTCGAAAAAAAATAAAAATTATAATTCTTGCTTTTTATTTTTTACTTTTTTACATGTTTATTATTTTTATGAATATCTGTTTTTTTAAATTCAATTTTAAAATATTATAAAAGTTTCTCAAATGTAAAAATAGTAAGTTTTATCATTAAAAATATAGTATTTTTTGATATAACTATTCATTTTAAAATTAAATTAAAAATCGTATTACTAGAATTATACATATATTTTTAGATTGTATTTTAAATTATGATTTTAATAATGGTATTTGTAAAAAATCATAATATGAAATTTTGTTAAAAGTTATTCTATATTTATATTTTAACAACATAAAAACCTGTATTCTTGGGATCTTTGACAAGATATAGGAGGTAGTGTGGTTTGATCTTAGTCTTCTCTTTTGTGCCATTGCTTATTATCTTTATATTTTATGTATTTTTTTAAATAATCATCTAATTAAATTTGGATTATTTAGGTAAATTTTTATTCAATTTTTGCAATGTTTTCACAAAATAATGTAATTATTTTTTTGTTTAGGTCTTGTTTATATTAGTTATAGAATGCCTTAATTTATGGTTTTATTTGGTTAAAAGAATTCACCTTGATTGCTTATAGTTTACCTATTATGTTGAGAAATTTAAATAATTCTTCTTTTGTCTCATATATATATTTTTCTTTTATTTAATTAAATTAGTAATATATGATAATAATAGAAAGTATTTTTATTTATTTATATAGAACTAGATTTATTTACCAACCTTATTTTTTCAAAGTTCATTTGGCCCCCTACTTCTTCTAATTGTTTATATTTTTTTTGTTTGAATGTTTGAAACTTATTTATTTATCTTTTTCAATGTGATCATCTAATATAGCTAGATTATGATTATTTATAAATCTTATAGAAGCTTTTAGAGGAGGTATTGATAACTATGGTGTATTTTCCAAGTTTTAGAGATTTTATAACAATATTACTTATAGTTGATAATGGTGGTTGTGTCTCTTTTTTCTTGTGTAGTTTTAGAATAATTTGTATATGGTCAAATAGAAAATGATGAATGTGCTACACCTTGTTGCCTTCAATTGTGGTGCTAATTTCTTATTTTATTATTTGGCTTCTTTTTCTTTTCTTTAACTTTAATTAAGGATATTTATTGGATCTTTTTACTATTTTTGCATATGATAGATTGCATCTTTTTGTATTGCCTTTTGTTTTTGAAGCTTTTATATTACTTAAGCTTGTCTCTAGATATCAAATCTTATTTTTAAAGATCTCTTTATTGTTAAGAAACAATTTTTAAAGAAAAAATCTTTTATTATTTGTAATTTAATTATATAGATTATTATGAATTGCATCTTTAAATTACATAGCATTAATAAAATTCAATGAACATTACTAAAAATGCATTTGGTTGCAACAATTATTTAAATAAAAAACTGATTAATATATAAAAATTAATCGGAAAAGATTATTAGCTCTATTAGATTGTAAGGTGAATCTTATATTTTTCCATATTTTTAATCTTCATGCCTATGTTTGTTTTGCACTCAAACCTAACATTGGTAGTAACACATCCTATATTTTTGTATCTTTTGTAACTAGAATTGTTTTAGAATGAGAACAGATGTAACATTGATGCTTCTTGTAAACTCTATTATAATAAACATAATGAATGTAAATAATTCACAATAAAATGAAACTTCTAGTACTTTAAAATTATCTAAAAATTTTCAGATATTTATTTTATTTCCTTTGAGTCTTTAGATACATCTTGAAACTTGAAAAACCATCTGTAAGATTTTAGAATTTTATACAGCAATTTATATAACTCCAGTCTTCTTCAACCATCCTAGATTTTTCATAATTTTTTTTGAATTTTTCAAAAAAATTCTCTAAACTTGGAAAATAGACCATATTTATCAATACCTCCCCTAAAAGCTTCTATAAGATTTAGCTGCAAAATAAAAAAGAAAAATAAACATTGCCTTAATCTTACCAATACAAGTTTTGGAATAATTCAAATATTGTTTTATCTTTAATCTTCTATCTAATATAATTGCTAATTTTCACATGAATTCTAAAAACAAAATTTCACATTATCCTGACACTAAAATATCCTTGTTCTATATTAAGATTTAAGGGACTATTTTTGGAGATCAGTTCATAACTTTTGCAAATATTGCTATCATAAAACCCAATAACCTTCACAAGATTTAGACCACCAGCTGACACTGTTAGCTACAATACAGAAAACAAGGTGTACCAGTTCCCTTGTGCATGTTCTTGCTTGTTGAATTCTTTGACTTGAAAAGAGTTTTTAAAAGGCCTGATTACAATAATCCTTACATGATTATGATCCCGACATTTCAGAAGAAGACATTTAATCACATACAAATCTTTAAGAAAAGAAATTCATGAGTCTGTTCATCATTAATACAATAGTTTCAAAATTTCACAGAACTGATGAAACAAATGAATATATAAACTTGTAATATCAACCTTGTAAAGAACTCCGCCTTTTAAAATAACTTGCATCAAAGAGCCTTTTAAAATGCTAGCTGAGGTCGCTAATCCTTTGCTCGTCTCTGCATCATAGAAATGCAATCACTAACACAACCACAAAACTTGCACACAACCACAAAACTGTAAAACAGAGATTGGCGACTTTTATTCTTGGTTAACCGAGAAACCTCATCCTTACCACAAACTTTGCAATAACTATTCTAAGACAATTCACGTCAAATTCTGAACTATGCTTGTAACTTTGTAAAAAGAAAGTACTTTGAAGTATGATAGAATGAATAATCCACGAACGAAACCGACACCAAAATCTACTCTAGTTTGAACCAAGTGAAACGCACTTCGAGCACTCACTGTGAAAATAAGACCATAGAAAAAAAAATGTTTCTAACCACATGAGGAAGACTATGCGCAGATGTGTATTATCCTCCAACTAGAAGACAACATTCTGGCATGCTCTGGTGAGACACATTCAATTAAAGATTTCTTTCGTACCTGCATGCCTTCTTGATCAATTTGACGACATGATAGTAAAGAAATCCTTTACCGAAGGACAGTGCTATGTCAAGTGGAGTGTTTCCAGCCTGTATTGAAAAAAGTTACAATTTATTTTAGAAAGAACTAACACACCCAACAATAAACTCAAAGTTTATCTCAGAAAAAAATTGAAAGGCAGGATTTCACATAGGAATAAGTCTGTCACGGTCAAGGGATTAACCTTATTTTGTATACTTGTGTCAGCACCCCTAGTGAGAAGAAGTTTGATTATGTCTAACCGTCCACTCTGTACAGCTATGTGAAGAGGCGTCCATCCTTCCTGCAGGCTCGAATACAAACTCGTCAGCTAAACCGACTACTCTGAGTTCATAACGGCTGAAACAAAGCCGATTGCGCTGATCATAATTGTGTAGGTTTAGATTACACAGTATTATTGATCGACATTTTTTTTAAATGTATCAAATTGCATTCTTAGTAATGGTGATAAACCATATAGACTAATAATATTCTCCTATCAATATACACAGGTAAAACAGACTGCTAATACATGACACTCTACATTTAGTCCAATGCCAAGTAGAGAAACCCACGCTATCACATGCGTTGATGCTGGCATTTTGACGCAGCACGGCTTTCACAGCAAAAATGTTGCCACTCCGTGTTGCATAATGCAAAACACTAGCCCCATCCTGCAATCCAAAGACCAAATTCACTCAAATTGGAGCAAGCTTAAGTTATTACTGCTGATATTCCTAATTAAAGTAGATGTACAAGCTTCAGAAAAAATTCAGGAAGAGTGCTTAAACACTATTTGAATACAAAGTTCATGAGTTACACACTCGGAACAGAATTTTATCCCAGACTGAGAAGTAGAATAACGAAGAATTTTCAGAATATTTACGAGTCATAGAAGAACAAACGTAGACTGCGGTATTGAAGTCTAAAACTGCTGGTAGAACCATGCACTCTTTAGAAGTACTTACCTTATCAATAGCTTTGACGTCAGCACCAGATTTTAGCAAATAACGAATTATTCTATCCCGGCCGCAAATGATAGCCCAGTGAAGCTCCGTGAATCCGTTCTAGATCGATCGAAAATCCCAATATCGTCTCATTAGCAACCTCAAATCTTCCCGGTAACAAACTTACTGAAAAAAATCACTAGGAAGAAGCAGTCATCGGAAAAATTACAGCTGAAGAAGGAGATTTCTAATTTTAGACTCCTCTCTGAACTGATGTAGAAACTGAAACCCAAGATTCATAAACATCCTTTAGCATATATCCTAGTTCTGAAACTCGACTAAATTATGAACTGTAACAAAATTTTGAGTTGGATAAAAAGAGGGTGGAATCTGGTTTGCCTTATAGAGTAAGCCTACCGTGTCTCTGGTATTTACATCAACACCACGCCTTAACAGCAAGTCCACATGGTTGATCTGGCCTGATGCCGCAAATGTATGTAGCGGATGCCACTTTTTCTACCACATCCCAGCATCAGCATTAAATGGTAGTTTGAGCATGTTCTTAGTGGAACTATAACTAGTAAACAAACAACCTGACAGGTTAGACACGTCTATACAATGAATCACTATCAAGGTTCGAAACCAGATCAGATCATTGACAATAGTTAGAAAGAGCAGTTACACCGAAGCAGGTATGTACTAGGGTGTGAGCATGATCCTACGTAAACCTCACTAAATCTGAGCATGCATTTCTCTGAGCCCGATTCCAGATAAATGTCTTTTTATTTAATGTGTAGGCTTGGTTCAATATATGATTCTTACCAACCAAACAGTACAAATAGCTGAAACAAGCATGCACACGCACACGCACACAAACGTGTATGTATATATATATATATATATATATATATATATGTATGCGACTTTCAGACATGGTGTGTAACCAAATATTCCAAAAGAAAATAAACTCTCCAAAAACATTAAATAAAAAGATCCTGAAAGGTAACTAGATGCTCACAGAGGTGATTACGGAGAAGTCAAGTATGTTACTGTTGAAACGACGCCTTTCCTCCTCGTTCATTAATTTAAATGCCTCCTGAATCCAACACATTACGATAACGGACATAAATTTATTGAACAATGTAATCTCGAAGGTCACAAACGTTTGTTTAACCAAAATGGGAAGAGCTCTGCATTCTCATAACATATCTTAAATCACAAACACATATTTTGGGAGCGCTCAAATCTCAACCATCCACAATCGAAAGGGTAACATTAATAAGATGCGCGGAACCTCCTACAGAAAGCACATATACCTTCATTTAAACTATAAAAAACAAATAAAATTTTTGCTAAGTTAAGCTTCACAAGCATGAGAGTATGACAGTTGTAGGACCTCCAAAATTTACCTGATTTTCAACACTGATGCCTTCTAGACTTGGTTCTGCTAATCGTGGCAGCTCAACGGGCCCGTTGATCGAGAGTTTAAACGCCGTCCCCTGGAACAGAATTACATTCGAGGCTGAGGAAATTTTTGACTTCCCATAAGGTTCACATAATCAAAAAAAATACATCTGCGTAGGAAATAGCCACCAAAAGAACAGAAATAATTCCAACTCAATATAATCATGGATATTATATATTCCAATGCAATATATCGTACTTTCATAACCAAAAACATAAGCAGAAGCTAACATACCTTCGTGCCGTTTTTCAGTAATTTGAAAACTTCATAGAATCTGAACTCATGACCAAATGATAGTGCCAAATCTAGAGGAGTATTTCCATCCTGGTTTTTCAACATGCAAGTCCGTCATGTTCATGACTTGTCTTTTTGAATGAAATAACTATAATGACAAAAGGTTAGAAAACAAAAAGAATACAAAAAACCATCCAAGGAAGCATGTGCATAAAGTGAGAATAGGTGTTATGGTGTACTACCCTGTTTTGAATAGTAGTATCAGCACCTCGAGCAATGAGGAGGTTAACTATATCTGTGCGTCCACTCTGTACAGCTACATGAAGCGGAGTCCACCCTTCCTGCAGATCCATACGTAAGTTTGATTAACCACCCGAAAGGTGCATCCTTCCAACATTCAAGTGAAGTTGACATGAACATATGTCACGAGACAATAGATGATTGCAACAGACTCAATGGTGACTGGATCCCTCATTATTTATTTATAAAAATGTTAGACTAAAACCGGACTTATGATTACGGACATTTAAGAAAGACTCACAGAGTCGCAAGCATTTATATCAGCATCGTGACGAAGCATGGCCTTGATTGCGAACGAGTTGGCATTACGTGCTGCAAAATGCAATACAGTGGCACCATCCTGCACAGAAGAAGCCATACTTAAGTTGAGACAAGCCATGCATATCCCAATACATGGCAATGCAGAACACAGACGGTCAGCTGGTAAGACAAATCCCATAATAGTCCTGACTAATAACCATCATAGTTACGAGCTTTCATGCCACCTTAGACACGTAAAAAAATTGTACAGTTTAATGGACTCTTGTATAGTTGAATAAAACTGGCAAATAGTCACTGACAGTTACAGTACAGCAAGGACATATTCGTCAATCTAGGGGATCTAAACTTTGCTTCTACAAACTAAACAGACAAATCATGCATAATATTCGACGAAATGTCATGCTTTACAGAACCTGAAAGTGCAACACGTGACGTTTAAATGATACAACGCTAACCTTGTCTGTAACAGTTGTATGAGCAGCAGATTTCAATATATACCGAAATATGGCATCTCGTGAGCCACTGCAAATTGCAGCCCAGTGCAGCGCCGTCCATCCGTCCTGACACAGAATGCAGTAGGCATATAATTTTATGACAGGCTTATCTGGATACAAATTCATTGTTCTTTGTTCACGGTAGCTGTTGATCAATCAAAGGTCCATTTATGGTAAACAAATCGTTTTCATACCATGTCTTGCGTATTGATACTACTGCCTCGCCTCAAGAGCAGGTCCAACTGGTTGATTTGACCTGATATAGCAAATGTGTGCAATGGATCCCATTTCCTCTGCAAAGCATCCAAAATGGTTCATCGTTAAAGCTGCCAGCACACATGTTTGCAACAACCATCTGTTAGTAGTAACTATGAACTTCTAGTAAACTAATTACATGAGTTTAATAACAATATTTGACATTACTCGTGCAAATTAAGAACAATTTTGCAAAACCAAATGCATACAATATAGTATACGGTAGATACGCGCTTACAGAAGTAACTTTAGTAAAATCAACTTCATTTATTTTAAGCATAGCCTTCTCCTCTGTTGTAAGAAGTTTCGAGCCAGACACCTCCTGCACCACCGACAAAGATAGGATCAGATCGAGAAAAGCATCTCGGTTACAGATATTGAACCAAAAAGTATTAGATCCTTTAGTATACAATCTAGATGAACCCATTTGTTTACGGTGACTGAAGAATAAATGACATTTCTTTCAAGAAGCAAGAACCTTCCGGGCACAATCTTCTAAGCTGAAGCCATGGAAAATAGCAGGCATAGCAAGCACAGTATCTAGCACCTGAAATCTTACCATGTTCTCTACATCATTTGATTTTTTGGATGCTTCTGCTGGTGGCTCTCGCTCATCAAACTTCCCGGCTGATAGCATCCTGGCCATGTCTTCGAAAGTTGCATTACCAAGAACCAAGCGAGGATTCTTAGGTGTCGCCCGCTTCACAGGCACAGCATCTTCAGCATCTCGGTGAACACTTTCACCATGTCAACATAACGTATAATGTTGGCTTCAACTTCCCAAAATTCCAAACAATCTCAAATCACTCACTACATAATGTACTACTTTCAAAAAAGTTAGACATCTTTGGAATGGCATCGATCAGAACAACATGTACTACATGCCTGCAGAAACTCAGTGAGAATTTTGTTGAGATAGAAAGATTCTTCAAGCAGAACACAAACAATGATGAACCACCTCATGCTAAGTCAGAAAATAGATCATTATCAAGAAGGAAAGAATCACAAACCTTTAATAATAACCTATTTGCTTCGAAGAAATGGTAAAAGTATAAAGAGTTGATAGAAAATAAAAAATAAACAGTAAAAGGATCTGTCAGCCTACCCGCATGGTGCAGGCTATTTCATAATTCAAGAAATCTCGCAAAACCTGGTATGACTTTGTTATGCTATTATAGAATTTTCAATAGTTGTTGAAAAGTGTGCCTAACCTATGGGTAACAAACGACACCGTCCTCAAAATGAAGAGCATTTTAACCACTCACTTTAAAGACGGTCCGCTACAATTCTGAAGGTGAATTTGATTATAACATACACCAATTCACTCAGGATTAGGAAAACTTACCAGTGACTTCATTGAATTCGGAATTCGGAAACAAGTAACCATCCTCATCATCAGAGACTTCGGTAGTCACACTCTCCGGGAAAGTCCGAGGAAAGAACTTCTCATTGTACTCCTCTCTACCAGCTATTTGCTTCCTAAGAAGCATCCGCTCTCGTTGCTCCCTTTCTTTAGCCTTTCTTTCAAGAGAATCGAGCAACTCCCGCTTCTTCTGCTTCTTTGTCTTAGCCAGCTCTTCCTTAACTGATCTCCACTCTTGTGGAACTAATCCTAAAGAATTAGCTCCATCATCATTTGTTATAGGGTCAACTTCCGACAATGTTGACGCTGGAGAGGGCTTCTCAAATACATCTTCATCCAAGGTGAACATCCCGTATACGTCATCCTCAAAACCTGGCACACTGATTTCCACAAAAACGCCAGAAGTAAGGAGTAGCACATTTGCACCTTAATAATTGGACCCAAATCCTCTAGCTAATCGGAACTCAGTAGGTGATTCAGGATCACAAATAAGAGGCACAAGCACAAAGGTTTTTCCTCGCGATTTCACTTCTAATAAAAGATGTGAAAAACTGCAATGCTCAAACCAACTTCACCAGCGTCAAACAGAATTTAAGATTCAAAATTCGTAATCGAACACAGCATCAATTCCTACACGACACAAAACAAACAATAACAACAAAACAAAGGGGGACAATGAGAAGACGCGGGAAGGTAAGTGTGGAACTGTAAGAATATCAAGAAAGACCGAAGATATTGTTTCAGTTGTAAACCACATATTTACAAGTTGTGTAAAATAAACCTCTCTACAGAAACCCATACACGTCTAAAAGTCAGAATTCAACCAACTCCTCAATAAAAATTCCGGGAAAACTCCGCGATGGCATCATGGCTCAAAACACGCAAGTTCAGTGCCAACAGACGCCGAAATCCATCAATTGCGGCTCACTCACCCGGCATTAGAAGACGAGGTGGCAACACGCGTAGCAGCAGACAAATGCCTCGCCCGTGCAACCGACACTCCTGAAAGAAATTGAGGAAAAGAGACGGAGACAGCGGTAGATGTTGAGGCGATGGTGAAGGAAGACGCAGGGCGGGCGGTATGGAAGGCGGGCGCAGCCGTCATGGCCATGACGGTAGAAGGCGAGGTTACGCAAGATGAGTCGAAGTTTGTGTCTACTGAAGCACACACGACCTTAAAAAACCACCGAGGGTTCAGAAGAACTGCCGATAAACCTCGCTTGGTGGACAGGACCACGGCCGACAGCGAACACTCATCCTGCCAGGTTGGATATTGCCACGTTGGATCCTGCCACGTTGGATCTAAGACGGAGGACCGAAAAATCTTCAGCCTTCACACGGCATGTGGTTCATCCATATGTATGGTGGCGTGCCTACTCCTTGCCATCTTCACTACTACTGAAGGAATCTAGAAAGCTAACTATGTAGAAGGCAAGATAGTACTTGGATTTAGCACAATTTTTGCTTTCTTATGATTAAACTTTAGGAATAGTTCCTTGAGCAACTTCAACTATTGTTTTGTTATGTTTTGTTTTGTTTTGTTTTTTTTTTTTTTTTTGCATATTTTTTGTGACAAAGGCATCCATTCATCTAATATATTTGAATGGACAAATAATCATTATTACATGATTCAAGTAGTACATATTCAATCTAAGATTTTAGGATAGACAATAAGGAATTTGATTAGTACACATATAGGCTATGTGATAGATCTAACTTAGTTTCACAAACATACATATTTACTAAAGTAAGAAGTGTTAGGTAGAAGGTAATGTGAGTAGATTTAATAATATCTTGTAACAAAGCTTCTTAAAAGCTAAAATTGAAGTAGATTTGACTTTAGATGTGTTTGCAGATGAATAATGGTTTAGAAACTTATTCAACAAGTTAACCTTATGTCTCATGTATTAGTAGCTTGTAGTACAAGCTAACTATATAGCACACATATAAGAAATTTGTTTTATAACTTAGACATGTATCTTTTTAGTTGTACATATGTTGGAGATCCTATAGAATATTATCATGTAGCTCCTAGTTAGATAGTATATATAGAGGCAAAAATAAAGCGTTCTTTACTCTTGTCAATGCCTTTCTTGTCAATGATATAAGAGTGTATCGATCATTTTGATTTATGAGATTCATGTCTTTTATACTTAATTTCTATAAAATTCTTTTATCTCTTCTTTCACCATATAATCCTACTTAGAATGCACACGCCATGGTTGGAGGTGCTTATAACTTCAACTTATCAATTGAAAAGATTATTTCTAAAAACCCTATATATTAAGTCAAAAATTCTAGCAAGAAAGTTTAATGAAAAAATGTGCATAGTCTTATTATTGTATAGTAATATAGTCATTAGATTATATATATATATATATATATATATAATTGAAAATAAAAGAACCTAATATAAAGATATAGTAGAAAGATAAGAATAAATAATAGAAAGGTAATAAAAAAATTAGTTTTAATACTATTTTTTTATAGAAGAGACTTCTATTTGCTTTGTAAGAGTATAAATGAACCAAATTAAATTAAATGAGATAAACATTTGATATAGGCATATTTAAGAGAAGATTAAGAATTATCAAGGACAAGAACATGATAAAGACAAATAAACAAGTGAGACTTCTCTCAAAGAAAGATGATAAAATAGAAATAACTTGATATATATATATATATATATATATATATATATATATTAAGAAAGAAACTGAAATGGCTATTGCCAAAAGCCAAGAAAATTAGACATCCTTGAAACTAGATTAGAAGCAATAAAAGAGTTGACAAGAGTGAAGAAGGCTTCACTTTTGTCTCTATATATACTATCTAACTAGGGACTATATGGCGACGTTCTATAAGACCTCCAATATGTGTTGATTTTGTAGGACACATGCCTTAACTCATAAGGTAAGTTTTTCTACATATGGGCCACATAGTTAGCTTGGTCTTCAAGCTAACAACATGTGTGGCACATGGCCAACTTATTGACTACGTTTCTAATCCCAAAAAGTCAATTAAAGACACCTATAAAGTCAAAGCAGCATCTATAGAGCTTCTAAGAAGCTTCTATACCAAATACTATAGAATTAACTTACTTTTATCTATTTTTACTTACTTCTATCTATTTATACATGTAATTATTGGCTTATATGTGTATGTCCGTGACATTATCCCTCCTTTTAGGGACGAGTTCCACGAAGAGCAGTAATCATATGTTAAAGAAATCTATGATGCGACGAATTGTATTCGCCACATACTCTGATCTTTGTTCTCTTCAAAGATGATGATAGGGCTTCTCAACCATCGGTAGTGTCCCATACTATAGTAGAAAGACCACCAAATTATTTGATCATTGTTGAGGCGTTTATAACTTCCTTTGAATAAAATATTTGAAACACCATCAAGAGTTGTTCCTACCTCTAGTAAAATCACCAAACATCAGGAGTCCCTTCTAAGGTCATGATACCAAACGCGTTGTATTTCGCCATCTATTCAAGGAAAAATATCTTGTTCTTGAAGATCTTCATCTTGATTGCATCATCTTGAAGGTTGTGACAATCATAATGTCTCATTCGACAAGTCAGCAAATGAAGGCTCTTGAGTCGAATGCGCTGGTTGTTGATTCTCCATCTCTTTAGCATCACAACTACAAAGAAGCTAAAAACAAGGATTAAAAGTAGAATGTTATCTTGCCTAGATCTTGTTTCTTTTATAAAAAAGGTTTTCATCTTGATTTTAATCGATGTCATCGATGAAAAGTCTCCACCGCCTTTGTTGCATTTGCAAGATTCTTTACTAGCTCCCATGTGCATTCACTAATATCATATCCATGTCAATGGATAAGATATTCTAATTTATTTCGACGCCACCTTGAATCTTAGACTTCTTCCACTTCAAAGTCTTGATTATTGTCCACTTCTATAAGAAGAGGTGAAGCTTATCTTCTTCATGGTATGTCCACTGTCTTGTATGATTCAAGAAGAGACACATGGAATATTGGATGGATTTTCATTGTCTTTGGTAGATATAAACGATATGAAATTGGATTGATTTGTATAGAAATAAAAAATGGTCCAAGCCTTCGATAGTCGAACTTGTCACAAGAATGAGTGGTCTTGATATTGCGACAAAGTAACCATACCTTATCACCCATGTGGAATGGTGGTTGTTCCTTTCAATAGATATCCGTATTGACCTTTTGTTGTTCTTGAGCTTCTTTTAACTGTGCCTTCATCGTTGCATGTAGCTTTGACAAATGAATTGTTAAATCTTTTGCAGCAGGATTATCAACTTTTGAAAAGTTAAAAGTATCAAGTCATAGATGATAACCATAATTAGCAAAAAAAAGTGTTTGTTTTGTAGAAGAATGTACCATGTTATTGTTAGCAAACTCTGTCAATGGCAAAAGAGTTGTCTAATCATCTTGTTGGTACTTAATGGTATATCTTAAATACTCATCTAAAACTTGATTAACACACTCTGTTTGTCCATCAGTTTGAAGATGGAATGTCGAAGATAGTTTTATATCTACTTTTAGAATCTTGAAAAGAATCCGTCAAAATCTTGATACAAATTGAGTTTTCATATCTGATATAATATCCTTGAGTAATCCATGATAGCGATAGATATTGTCAAGAAAGAGCTTAGCTATTTCTTCACCTGTGATAGAGTTTGTACATGGTACAAAATGTGTCATCTTGATAAAACGATCTACTATCATGAATATAGAGTCATAAGAACCTGATATTAAAAGATTTGTGATGAAATCCATAGAAATAGAAGACCATGGTTGTTTTGGAATGGATAATGGCTGAAGAAGTCTGTAAGGTCGATGACGAGGAGTTTTTGATCTCGAGCAACCATCATAAAATTGTACAAAATCTTTGACTGCTTTCCACATTTGTGGGTACCAAAAGTCCTTACATATTAATTCTACAGTTTTATTGTATCCAAAATGTCCTGCTACTGGAAAGTCATGATGAGCTTGAAGAATACGTAATCGAGCTTCATCTTCTGGAATATATAGGCGTTCCTCAAAATGTAGTAGATTCTTCTTGAATTCAAACTTGGAAGTATCATGAGACTTTGAAGGATTTCCCTTAATTTCACGAATAAGAGGATCAAAAGACATACTTGACTGAACTTGCTTAATGAAAGTTGAATCAACACTTAGTGTTGATTTCATTGCTCGATGATGAAGATGCTCTGGCTTCAAGAGAATTGTTTGTTGTTGATTAAAAGCAGCATCTCCTTCCTTTGGTACAAGATAAGATTGTCTAGAGAGTATATCTGACAAACCTTATTGTTTTCCTAGTCAATAAGTGATCTTGAATTCGAATCTTAACAAAGACATACTTCAACGGGCTTGGCGACAATTCAAAATATGTGCTGACATAAAATATTAAAATTTCTTGTGATCCGTATACATTGTGATTGGGATAGAAGTATCTTATAGATAATGGTGCCATTCTTGAATCGAATCCATGATTGCAAGAAGTTCTTTGTCGTGGATCTCGTAATTGATCTCAGTTGCTGAAAATTTTCTAGAATGAAAAGCTATTAGGTGAAGTTTATCATTTGTTCCCATTTGTGACAATACGGCACCCAAAGCAAAATTTGATGTGTTTGTTTCTATAAAAAATGGCTTAGAAAAATCGACGTGATACAAGATTGGTGTAGAAACAAAGGTTGTGTTCAAAGCTTCAAATATTACTTCTGCTTCTTCATTCCATTGAAGTTTGTCTTTACAAGTCAAACGTGTAAGTAGAGCTGCAACTTGACAGAAGTCTTTCATAAAGATCCGATAGTAGTTGGCAATTCCCAAAAAGTATTGGACATCTTTTACCATTTTTAGAATCTTCCAATTCATAATAGTTTGAACTTTCTTAGGATCTATCATAAGTCCAACATTTGAAATGATGTATCTTAAGAAGTCGACTTGAGTAGTGTGAAATATATACTTTTCTATCTTGGCATGGAGTCATGCATCTTTTAATTTTTGTAATACTTGACAAATATGAAGTTCATATTCTTCTGGGTTCTTAGAATAGATTAAGATGTCGTCTAGGTAACAGACAACAAAATCATCTAAAAACTCTCAAAAGACATCATTCATTAGATGTTGGAATGCTGTTGGTGCATTTGTAAGTCCAAAAGGCATGACATTGTATTTGAAATGTCCATACCTTGTTTGAAACACAGTCTTCCATTCATCTCCTTCTTTGATGCTTATCAAATTGTATGCTC